CCTTTTCTTTGGAGCTTATCGATTCATTGAAAAAAAATATGTTATGCAACTATAATTTTTTTTTTGTATGTATATATACACACATAACAGGCCTATTTAATAAGAATGAGAAAGTTTACCTGAGGGGGCAAACCTTGAATTTTGAAGAACAAAGTCATTAGAAACCTAGCTCAAAAGTCAAGAAAGGTAATATCCTGCCATCTAGAAATCAAAATTTTCCCGGGGGATCTCTTTCCTTTTTGGGAAAAACGAGATTTAAAAAAGAAATTTGGGACTTCTTAGTAGATGGCAGGAAATGGCTGGGATGGGAAAACTAGGCCTATTTTTTTTTGGCCGATGGGGGGGGGGGCCCTCGGCCAGACCGATGGGGGGCTTAAGCCCCTCCTCTTCCCCCACCCCTGGTGCCGCCACTGCTTTTGAGATGTGGTGCCAGCGATTCTGATTTTATTATAAAACACAGAATCATTTCTATTGGTTCTTAGACTTTACTAGATAGACTATATTAGAAAAGAGTGAAGAAGTCAAAGTCCACTATCTGTTCCTATGGATAGGGGAAACAGGTAGAGATATAAGAGACAGTTGGGACCTCACAGAAGAGGAAAATAAAAGCTTGAATAAGCACTGGGAAAAACTAGAGAACTATGTAAAACCTAAGTCTAACTTCAGAGTCTCAATGTTTAGATTACGGGCACTTTAAACAAGATGAAGGTGAATTGGACTCAATTGATAGTGCCTCAGGATCACAAGCACATACAAAGTTATTGATGAACAATAAAACAGTGAAATGTAAGATAGACAGTGGAGCAGAAGTAAATGTCATGCCGCTGAGAGTATACAAAGAATTATTTCCAAAGAAAATTAAGGATGGTAAACCAACAGATCTAGTGAAAACTAACACAACGCTGACAGCATACGGTAGCAACAAAATAATAGTGTATGGAGTGAAAAACATCATATGTACTTATGGTGATATGACAAGAAAACTGAAATTCCACATAACACAGGACGAAGGAAAGACAATGTTAAGTCTGCGAGCATGTCTAGACTTCAACCTCATTACACTAAACTGCTTAGCTGTAAATGTACAGCAGAATGTTGTGATATCACTGAAGTGACGGCAGAAACACCTAAAGACAGATTAACCAAACAGTATCCAGACTGCTTCGAAGGTGCAAGTCAGTTCCCAGGCAAATATAAAATTGAGCTTAATGATGGAGCAGAACCTTGTGTACATCCACCCAGACGCGTGCCAGAATCGCAAAAAGCCGCACTAAAGAAAGAACTACATAGAATGATGGATCCTGACATTATTCGAAAAGTAGATCAACCCACAGACTGGGTTAACAGTATTGTTTATGTAACAAAGCCATCAGGAGATCTGAGAATATGCCTTGATCCCAGGGACTTGTAGTGAGCCCTCTATATTATCATTGTACGACAGTATGTAGATATGCTGAGACACTCATTAAACAGGTATCGTAGAGACTAGACGTACGTGAGTCCAGTGTCTGTGTTGAGTCAACGTATACGAAATTACAACATGGTGGCGAGCGGTGTTTGCTAGCCTCACAGTTAACCAAAAGTTGTTAGGTTGCATGGTAAGCTACGGTACGTATCCAGGATGGCTACCAAATCAAAGACACCTTTGATGAATTGGGCGTCGGAGGACCTATACAAAGAATTCAAGAGATTCAAACAGCATTGCTATTTTACATTTAACGGACCTCTATCGGAGAAGACCGAAATACAGAAAGTCAATTATCTAATGACTGTGACCGGTGACCGTGGCAGAGAAATATTTGAAACATTAGACTGGGCGCCAGGTGTAGCAGGCCAAGACAATCAGCCAGCCACACCAGCTGAAAACGAAACATTGACAGGCGTTTTCGATAGATTCGAACGATATGTTAGGCCTGTCTCTTATACACATCTAGATGTGTATAAGAGACAGGGCTAAGGCTTAGCCTTACCTTGATTTAGGTTCTGTTATCAGA